ATACACAATGTACTAACCATTGTTCCTCTCCTAAAATCTTGTTTTGAGATTTTGAACCATTGTGTTTATTTCTTTTATTTTAAAATAAAAATAACTCATGTCAGAAAAAAAAAGGAGTTAACAGAAGCTGATGGACTGCAATAGCCTGGCAAACTCAAGCCACACAGGCTAGATTTGGGATGTAAGGGCCTTTTCCTCTTTTGCCTGGCACAAATGTTCAGCAGCACACACAGGTACAAATGACCAGGAAGCTGCTCCTTTCCTAATTAGAATGCCAAGTGATTTTTCTCTTTCTTTCTTTCTTTCTTTCTTTCTTTCTTTCTTTCTTTCTTTCTTTCTTTCTTTCTTTCTTTCTTTTTTTTTGTAAACTAGTTTAACTCTCATACATATTTTTCTTTATTTTGAAAAAGAACCTAGTAAAATATTAGCCATTGAAGATAAATTATCTAAAAATTTGCTATTTTAAAATTAAATACAATAATATATGTATTTTTCTTTTTAAAATTATTTTTAAAGAGAATACAAAATGGTAAAGAAAATCTAAACAATATAGAACTTCACTAAACAAAATAATAGGAATTCAACAATGCTTGTTGTAGTGCATAATGTTATTCTCAAAATAGTTGTGTAGAGTACCGGACTCTTTCTTTCTTTCTTTCTTTCTTTCTTTCTTTCTTTCTTTCTTTCTTTCTTATTTATTTATTTATTTATTTTTTGGCAGAACCGGGGATTGAGCTCAGGCCCTTGTGCTTGCCAGGGGAGTGCTTATTCCACTGAGCTATCTCCCTGGCCCCTTCTTTCTTTTTTTTGCATGTGCTACAGTGGCTAACTGGAGCCTCTAGCAACAGCAAGCTTTGGGGTTACGTGGGTGGCAATGAAGGTAGGGTGTGGAACAGCACCTGTAGTGGATTTCTAACTGGTGGTCAACTTACTACACCTAGCCGAATTAAACTGGTGTGGTGCTGGGTGTGTGAGGCCCACCCAAGGATTGTTGCCAGTAGCATAAAGGCAGAACAGGAGAAGCTGATAAAATGCTGTTAGGAATGACCATTGGAGTCATAGTCATCACCATAATCTATTACCAAAGGACTGAATGCTGGATCAAATAGATAGCAACTTCTCATTCCTAATAAATTGGGAAGGTAGGATCTTGGAACAGACACAAAGCAAGAAGCAGGTACACCTAGAAGACCTCACTGAGGAACAGATATTTTCTAGTGGAGTGTCTATACTAGTGATAAAGCTACCCACCAAAAGCAGTTTACAAATACCAACACAGAAAACAAACTAAAATAAAAATCAGAAAATGACAAGACAAAGAAGCAAAATGCAACTCCAGACTCCAGCCCAAGCAGGACAAGTCTGGGGGACAATTAGATAGAGGAAATCAGGAGCAATCCACCTGAATTTTCTGAAATGGTAGCAGCAGAAGTAAACAAGCAGAAGAATGAAGCTATGGAGAAAATCAGATCAGAAATAGTCTCTCGGGTAAGAAAAGAGATAACCATCATAATAAAGGACTTGCTCAATGATTCTGGTGTAGATGCAGACATAAAAGCAGAGGAGCTTAGGAAATGGATAGAAACCACGCATGCCTACCATAGGAAAGAAATAGAATCCATGAAACAGATTTAAATAGCTATCCAAGACATCAAAATTTCCATCAAAAGTATATGCAGCCAAATGAATAAAGGTGAGGACAGAATATCAGATCTAGAAGACAGGATTTTGGTTAATGATCATGGAAAAAAAAGATGTATTCAAAATAATGAGGGACTCCCTATGAAAAATCAGCCCAATAGATCCAAGATGATGCAAAGAAGAACAATAAAGATTGATTGGAGTCAAAGAAAAAAGCAGAAGACAGCACATGACATAAAATGATGTAAAGTGCCATTTGTGTTGCTTGCTAAATTTTTGCTAATTCCAATTCATCTTAGATTAGTCTTCTTTGTGTCACCTAACAGATGTGCCCATCTTTCATATTCTCTTGGTGTTTCCAAGGAATCTTTGGTAATTGGTCACTGACGTCAGCCCTATCCCTTGTTCCAACAGTCTGTCCTCACGCTAGTCACATCTTCTGCCTTTTTTTTCAGTAGAGTTTTTAATCTTCTAGATCCGTCTTTGATACTTTTTCTTGGATTCAAATTCTTTGTTAAACTAGTCATTCACATTTTGCATCATTTTGCTTAGTCAGCTAGCCATTTACTAGCGTCCTCTGTAAATCTGATGACTATTTTATTTATTAAGTCTATTGTGTATTTAGTTATATCTCCTTTGAGCTCATAGGTCCCATGATCCTGGAATGCATAGTTAGAATTTACAGTAGAGTCTATATAACAACAGTCAGAATTAATAGCAAGTTATTGTCAGAGATGACTGCTTTGGCCATTGTGTCCCCCTACCCTGATAAGATTGCCTGAACTAGGTCAACATGTGTTGTGTAACAAACTCTCATTCCAGCCATATCCTCTGACAAAAAGTCCTGTACAGTACTTTGTAAAATGCTTTTCTTCTACATCTTCGTTCTCGTGTCCTTGAGTTACAAATAAAGAACCACAGAAGTCTAGGCTCTTTCTTCCCCTAGGCTCTCTTATGCCCAAGAACCTCTGAGTTCTGTGATTTAATTAAATATTCTTTCTGATTTAATTCTCATCTCCTGCTTAGTTCACACTGTGACAAAGTTCTGACAGACAAGGGTTCCTTTAATCTCTGAGACACTTCTAGGGGTTTGCTGTCTCTGAGATGGTTTTTCTTTTTGCAAAGCAGTCATTCTGGTTTCCAGCATGTGAGCCTCTCTCTCCCTCCATTGTGATTGCCAGGGTTTCGATCAAGGTGTTGAGGGAGGAGAGTGGGAAGCCATGAGCATTGTGATACAGGGGAGAAAATGTCACAGAGTGAGTGTGCTTATGGAGAGTGCCTGGGACACAGTAAGTATGCTTTGTATCTAAACAAGTAGTGCATCTTATGTGGAGTATACAGAACACAGTAGAAGTACTTCATCTATAATCTGTACACAGAGGAGAGTGCTGAATCATAGCAACTGTCATAGGAACTTCCAGTCCCTTTTCTTCATTTCTTCTTTTGAGGCTTCCTTCTTTAGGGAGCCCTCTTGTATCTCTCTCTAAGGCCCTTATCTGACATTCCACTTTCCAGATGACAAAACTGAGCCCAAGAGGGCTACCCTACAACAAATCAGAGTAAATCAGAGCAAAGATGGGGCATGTCAAGAACTCCACTCAGGGGCCCCTGACTTTGCTCTCTTCTTTCTAGACCCTGTCACCAAGGGCAGGGACTTGTCTTTCTTCTCCCATGTTCTTTCTTTCCCTTTTCTCCCTCCTCCAATAGCCAAAAGAGCACAGCCTCCAGATATGCTCTTTTAGCTGGGCTCTTTATCATCCAAATCTGATGTGGGAAATCCCCTGCAGAAATGGACTTTTTTTTCTCTTGTTCCTAAATATCAGGCATCAACTGAGTCTCTGGATTTGTTGGAGGCAGGGCTTAAATTCTAGTTTTTAATATTAATTACAGCATTTAAAGGGAAGGGTTAATTCTGCACAAAAGACTCTAAAATGTACCCAGTAAACTCCTGAAAAATAAGAGGAGTGGTAGGAATACAACATACATTTATTTATTTATTTATTTATTTATCTATCTATCTATCTATCTGGTACAGGGTTTCACTATGCAGCTTGGACTCGTAGTGATCCTCCTGTCTTCAGCATCCCTAGCACTGGGATTAAAGGTGTGCACCACTATGCCCAGTCTCAGTGGCCAGCTCAGCGGGCCCAGGGGGGTGAGGATGGCACAGCATGTGGTGCTGGGGATTGAACCCCCAGTCCCTGTGCTTGCCTAAGCAGGAGCTTAGTCTTCTGAGCTATCTTGCTGGCCCTATACCCCCAATTTAGATTCCTAGTGTTGCCACCATGTGATCACAATCACACAGACTTTCCAACTTGTAGCTGGTATACACTGGTGCAAGGGCAAAAAACACACAACATAAAAAGGTATTAACTCTTCATTACATTCCCCCATCCACCCCAAAATGGTACAAAAGAAATAGCTGCTGCACACTGTGAACTACTTTTGGTGTAGAAGAGGCGATGAGGGGCAGGGGTGGGGACAGGCGTTGAATTCTTGCCAGGTTGTGTAGCTGGTAGGCCAGTGGCTTCTATCCCTGAGCCTCTGAATTCTGCACTGAGAAATGATGCATGCTGCCCTTCCAGCACACATGTGAAGAGGAGTTTGCTCTGGTCTAGCTAGTGAATTCTCCATTTCATGCTTTTATCCCCTGCATCCTGACCTCAGAAGTGCAGGGGCAGCTGTACAATTGAGGGCTTACAGTCACCTTTACCTCCACCAAACTTGCTTCTAGTCCACGTGGAAGATGCCAAGTCCTCGATGTCCATACTGTGTGATCCTGAGGTGGTTTCTCTCTGTAACTGTATAGCCCCACCCCCAAGACTTGGCCACTTGTCCAGGCAGGAAGGAGGCAAATGGGCCTGTGGGGATGGGTTGGTCTTGTCCATTCTGGCTTCCTGTAACTTCCTTCAGGACACCATACAGGAATAAGGAAGTTGCAGAGAAGGAGAGAGAAAGTTGAGGGAAAAGCTGCTCCTGATAGAAGGTAACAGGCTGGGTGTGTTGGGGCTGGAATGCCATGTTTGGGGAAAGGAAGAGTCATTGCCATGGCTTGGAAGCTCCAAGAAGTATGTGGTCCAGGAAACTGGTAGTTCTAGGTAACAGTTCCTAACCACCACTGTGGCTCAGGAACATCAGGACTCTGATCATTCTTCCTTTCTTTTCTCCTCTGCTTCCAGGTTTTCTTTTTTGAACTTCTCCTCTTTCTTTTCCCTGCTCCTTCCCCTAAATTGCCTTCATTTTCCTTTGTCCTTCATGCCCTTCTTACAACTCTCACAAACTGCCTCTCTGTAGTATCTCTGAAGGTCCCTGTCTTCTTCCTGGGCCTCACAAGCTCCTACTTTATCCTGTCTTGCAGGATGACACAGCTGAGCCAATCCAGGCTGGAACTAAGTACAGAGGAAGTCCTTCTTTTCCTGATCTTGGCAGTAATTTGGGTCAGATGGATCGTTATTGATCTTCACAAGAGGATCTCCTCCTGCTATGAATACTATTGTCACCTCCACCGTTTCCCTCAGCCCCCCAAAAGAAACTGGCTTTTTGGTCACTTGGGCATGGTGAGTGTGGCAGAGATGTGGACCCCCCCAAGTGGAAGTATCAGGAATAGAATCATATCATAAAGCTGTGCATTGATCAGAGGGCTGGATTCTAGGACAACAGAGAAACAAGGGAGATGGCCTGTTCAGCTATGTGTGACACCTTAATTCCATCATTGTGTCATCTCAAGCCTGTTTCACATTGCTGTCCTCCCATTTCTTGGCTTTATTTGAGGCCTGGCTTCCCTGCTTGGTGCACCTGTGAGTAGTTCCCACGTTGGGCTAAAGAAAGTGAGGATCCCTTGCTTTTCTACATTCTCCACCACTTGAATTGCTGTCTCTTGAGGAGCACTGTTCTCCTGATTGGATTGTGTTTTTATGTCAACCTATCTCTGGGTTTTCAGTTGTTCATAAGAATGAAATTTGATCTTTCCGCACAGCACAGGGACATAGCTGGGCCCCTAGAAGATAGGTGTAAGCTGACTCCCCTGCTGCATTCCTGGGATAACCTTCTCTTATCTTGTTCTTCTCCCAAAAAAATTTCAGTGAGCCTTCTGGCCAATCTAGGTAAAAGATAGCTACTCAAGTCTTTCAGAATACTTCCTTGACCTCATTCTTTTTTTGTTTGTTTGCTTGCTTTTGTTTTACTTATTGGATATGGGTTCTAACTACACAGCTAAGATTCACAGTGATCCTTTAGTCTGTGCACCACCGTGCAAGGTTTTGGGGCCAGCATGGTGAGCTCAGAATTCTGGGGCCAGCACAACGTGCAGTACAGGTAATTGAACTTGGGCCCTTGCACTTGCCAAGCAGGTGCTTAGACCATGGAGCTATCTCCCCAGCTTATTGACCTCATTCTTAAGGGAACATTGAGACCTTTGGTAGACTTTCTTACCCTTTTGAGTGATGAGATTTTGGGTGCTTCACTTATAAAGGGACAATTGATAAGCCTGTACATAGGTTTAGTGAGGTCTTGAACCTAGGACGCTTTGTTTCAGAGTCTGGTGGGCAGCAGGTGTTCATGGTGGGAGCTGCCTCCTTGATGGAGAATTGGAGGTCACCTCAGTTTTCCTGGGATTTGAAAGGTCCATAGTATGAGGAAGCGTCTCTTTGGTAGGAACTGGCTGTGATACGGACTGGTCAGGACATGAAAGGATGTGGGCCAAGCCTCAGGATAAATCTGAAGGCCACACTACTGCCCATAATCTCTCTCCTGATTTTGACCTCCCCTGTGTATACAACTTGGTCTAGAGCTGCTTGTGGTAGAAGAAAATTCTTCTCAATTCAAGATGGATATCACAGTGGACAGGCATTTTTCTTCTCTATGTACCCTCGGATGTACCACTGAAAGTTGGATATGGCCCTGGGTGGGGGGAGGAACAAAAGAAGGCAGAGATTCTTCCCATTCTTAGAAAATTTGAACATATGTTCATCATAGATGCAGTGTCATCTCCATGGGCTGAAGAAGAGAATGGCTATGACTCCTGTAATTGGTTTTTAGACAGAGTACTCCAGAGAAATGAAATCAAAGAGCGTATACTTTGTCAGGCATTACTTAATGATGTTGACATCATTTGAGAATTTGTTTTGGAGTGATTTTTCTCCTTGTGCCAACATCATACAGTGTGTCTTACACATACCTAAATGATCTAGCCTACTACACACCCAGGTTAACCTATTTCTCTTTGTATACAAAGCTATACAATACAATACTGTTCTCAACATTATAGGCAATGGAACACAATGATACTTGTGGATCTAAAAGTCTCTAAACTTAGAGAATTTATACCAAAATACTAAACAGTAAGGAATATCTCAGCTCCATTGCAATCTTATGAAACTGCCTTCATTGGAGAGAAACCTTATTAAGTAGCACATGACTGGATATAGAGTCAAATACACACACATGCACATACAAATACATACAGATATACACACACCCACAAACCTGAAAGACAGAGAGAGAGAGAGAGAGAGAGAGAGAGAGAGAGAGAGAGAGAGAGAGAGAGAATTTATTATAATTTTTAGCTCACATAATTATGGAGATTGCAAAGCAAGCTGGAGAAACATGGAAGCTGGTCATGTATTCCATTTAGTCTGAGTCTAGAGCCCTGAGAAGCAGGAGTGCTGGGGTTTCTCCATGTCCCACAGTCTGTAAGTTTGAGGGCCTGGAATAGTGATATCTGAGGGTAGGGAAAATGGATATTCCAGCCCCAGCTTGTAGGGGTTGCAGATCCTTTCTCAGTCTATGTGTGCAGACAGTAACATTCTGGGAACACCATCAGACAGCACCTAGGAATCATGTCTCACCAGCGCTCCAGCTCTCCAGGTGCCCCTCATCCAAGTAGATACCTGAAGTGAACGATCTCAAGAGCTAACCAATGCTTTGCCTATAGATGCCTTCCACGGAGGAGGGTTTGAAGGAAACAGCTCAGCTGGTTGCCACGTACCCCCAGGGATTTATGATGTGGAAGGGCCCCAAGATGCCCATCATCGTCTTGTGCCACCCTGACGATGTCCAGTGTGTCCTCAGTGCCTCAGGTACCCCTGTAGATCTTGAGGTGGTGGGTGCCACGGTACACCTCAGCCTCTCCAGGTCCATACCCTTTGCCTCTATGCATGCCCTGAAGTACTCTGACCCCAACTTTTTTCTTCTCTGAGCTTTTTCCTCTATCTTTTATATGTTTTCCAGCCCTCATTTCACTCTCCTTCCTCCATTGCTGTCACCTGAACTAATTTTTATTGTAACCTAGAGTTCTGGGCACTCTGAGGGCCTTAGCAGATCTTATAATAATATGTGAAACATCTCTATGTACATAAAAGTTGTGACTGAAATATTAAACATTTAAAATTTTAAACTTTATTACATGAAAATTCACATTTTCATAAATCCCCCTCAAAATACCCCCCTTACTTTGAACACACTTATCATTCTTGACACTTTCTGGTGCACAAAGTATGCTCCCAGGGGAGGAGCTCCCCAGTGAGACCTGAATAGTGCATAAGAAGACATAAAGGGGGGGCAGGGAATGCAATGGTCATTGCTAGCAGCTGAGAGCCCCTGTGGCATCTGGTTTCAGCTTTACATACTCAATTCCCATGGGTCATGTCTGGGACTCAGTGGGGGCCATGGACATTTGGGGGAAAGTCCAGTTTGTCTTGTTCTTATCTGACCTACTCTTTGACAGAATCTTTTATTTTTTTATGTTTATATCTGGACTATATTTTGGCTGAACTGAGGTTGGAACCTAGAATCCTTCTTAGAAAAGACCAAGATCTTATTTCAGTCTTGCGTGAGTCAGGCCTTAAGATATATCCACATCATGTCTGAACCCTGCTTGTGTCCCATCAGGACCACATCTGGGATAATAATGGGACAATATCTAGATACTGTACATGGGGCTCACTGAGGTTTTGTCAGAGCACCTCTGATGTTTTTAAGAGCATGTTATATCATGTTATGTTAGGCCATATATGCTATGGCTATATTAGGACATATAAACGTGTGTGTGTCTATATCTCATGTCCCATGTCTCTATCAGAATTCAGAGAGTGCCATGGTGTACAGCATTCCATAGGTTTATGTGAAGATCTCTACTGAGTGTTTTGCTATGCATAGGTGTGACAGAATGTGTTGGACCATGTAGGAGCCATGTTAAGGTGTGCTGGGCGTGCTATCCTGTACTAGGCTGTGCCTTTGCTCTAAATTGCTGCTTGGTGTGGTTGATCTTTACCTCTCCCCCCACCCTCTGTCCTGGTCTCCTATGCTGAAATTGTGGGCTTTGACAGAAAACATGCAGACCTCTAGCTGCGACCCTCCACCTCCTTCCAAACTCCACTCCTATCCCTCTCCATTGCCCTGATGTTCTCTTTATGTCAGTTGAGGTTGCAGTCAAGGACGTCTTTGCCTACAACTTCCTGAAACCCTGGATGGGTGAGTACCTGAAGGTGAAGGGAGTTGGGGAAAACATGGGGGTTCAGAGGAAGGTGCTACCTTTTGCCCACTGTCCATGGCTTCCCCAACAGGGGGCGGGCTCTTGCTGAGTGCTGGTCACAAGTGGAGTCACCGCCGTCATGTGCTGACACCAAGCTTCAATTTAAACATCCTGAAGCCCTATGTGAAGGTTTTCAGTGACTGCACAAAGATCATGCATGTGAGTTATTGAGCCCAGGGTCCCTGCTAGAACCTGAAGGGTAAAGGGGCCATGGTGCATACCAGCCCCTATAGTTCCATATCCCATGCATCTAAGCAAATCCCTGATGGACAGATCAGGCTAACAGTTCTGGCTCCAGTGGGTTGCTTTGAAGACATTGTTCTTTCTATCTCAGCCTTGGTTTCCTCTTTGTAAAATGGGGATAAAGATCTTAACTTATGATCTAGAGAATGTAATGGACTCATGTCCCTCGAACATGGTAGCACTCAGAAGGCTTAGTTTCCATGCCTCTTCAGAAGTCCTGTGTGCTGAACACAAGAAGAATGATTACACTGAAGCTACTTCTGGGTAACAAGCCACTTCTAAACTTACTGTTTTAAAGTGGCAAGGGTCTCTGATAAATGTGTAGGTCCTGGTTTTCCTTATCCAGGAAGGCATCACTCATGGCATATTATCTACTGAGGGTCTAGTAGGCAACTCTGCTGATCTAAGCTCAGTTTTCTCCTATATTTGAGATTTGGCAGACACTAAGCTGATTTGGAATCACACCAGATGGGAGAACTTCCAGAAGAAATAGAATGGGGTATTGTGTAGCATGCAGTTGTCTACACGCTTCACTCTGTTACAAAGACATCACATGGTTGTTCACATGGCAACAACATGGGAGTGAGAGGAGGATTAGGTTTATCGTAGTTATGATCTCATCACTTGCAACACATGGTTCTGACCAAAGTCAGAAATCTAGCACCAGAATATGGGGGGGGGGGATAGGGTCTACCTCTTAATGTAGTTGCTGAGAAATCACAATACATAGAGTATAGGTAGAGGACGAAAATAAGGGCTGGAGGTGAAGGTTTAGCGAACTGCTTAGAGCTTCTTTCCTTACCTCAAAGGGCTAAGTTAGTTTGGTACTGTTTCATGGATTCGGCCAGAAGACCCAAGATTACTGTATCAGAGATAAAGGTGTTTGTTCATGGCATGACAAGCAGCATGCACTCTTTGTTGCCTTTCATTCTTCCTCCAAGCCACCCAAATCATGTGAAGACAATAATTCTAGGTAGCATTTGATGCCTGATCTTGTGTATATGGCACTACAGTGGATAAATCTTGTTGAAAGTCATCTGTTGAAAAGTGTCCATGGGAAGGCATCCCATCCTCCTTTGCATGTTCTCTCTAAATATAACTCTGAGAAATTATCCAGGTGGAGAGTGCCAAGGGAATGCATTTTTGGCATATCCCCACAGCATGATCGAGGCCCACAAGGAAGTATCTCTCATGGCAGAGGGATGTGTACAAATCAATTTACAACACTAATGATGTGGGAAGTCATCATTCGTTGAACATGGGCAATATTTTTAAGCTGATGCCATGGAACAATCCCATAATCTATCCTGCTGAATGTAACTTTGATAGCATATAAGGTTGAGATGTTTTCACATTAGAGATGGAGAACTGGAAGGTCAGACAGATTTGTAAGTGAGTGAGCCAAGACTGATGGGGCAGCCAAGAGTGGTGGTGCAGGCCTGTAATCCCAGCTCTTGGGAGGCTGAGGCATGAGGATTGCTGTGAGTTCAAAGCCAGCCTGGGCTACATAGAGAGACCCAGTCTGAAGAAAGAAAGAAAGAAAGAAAAAAGAAAGAAAGAAAGAAAGAAAGAAAGAAAGAAAGAAAGAAAGAAAGAAAGAGAGAGAGAGAAAGAAAGAAAGAAAGAAAGAAAGAAAGAAAGAAAGAAAGAAAGAAAGAAAGAAAGAAAGAAAAGATTGATGAACCATATATTCTGAATACCAGAGCAGCTCAACTTAACAGTAACTGAAGATTTGTCAGGTGGGATGAAGGGAAGGCAAAGAGATGAGAAACTCACACAGAGTGTGGGAGACACAGCTGAGATCTAAACTCAGGGCTCCTGACTTCTAGCCTTGAATCTCCATCCTGTAATTGTAAGTTTCTGGTCTCAGACAACCCTGGTCCTCTTGAGGGTAGAGGACTATCAGTATGCTTTGAGTCCATCCTGGTGATGAGGGCTTGGCAGGAGCTCAAAGGAGCCATGGCTCAGGGCATTCCTGATTTCTTTTCTGTCCAGGCCAAGTGGCAGCACCTGGCTTCAGAGGGCAGCACCCGTCTGGAGATGTTTGAGCACATCAGCCTGATGACCTTGGACTGCTTTTACAAATGCCTATTGTGCACCAAAAGCAACTGTCAGGAGTGAGTCCTTTCCCTGGGCTAGGAACCTGTGCCATACATATAAGAAAACATGGGGAGGGAGGACTGACCAGATGGACCAGAAGAACCTCCCTGGAGGAGGTGGGTCAGACCTGGACATTGAGTGACAAGGAAGTAGAGAGAGAGTGGTCCTTCCTCATTTTTCATTTGAGTAATGATAAAGAGGCTCAAATGAGCAAAGTGTGTGCAAAGAGGTACATGGTACAGGAGAAATCTAGGAGACGAGGTTGAGTAGCTAGGTGATGGCTAGGTCTAAGGATAGTGAAAAGTCTATTTGATAAGGGGATAGTGAACCTCTTAGAAACCATGGAAGTATTTAGAGATTGTGTTAATTAGGATTGTGTTACTATGATAAAAATGTCTGAAATAGTCCCCCTATGTGGAAGAAAGGCTTGTTTTGGCTTACAGTTTAAGCAGCTTCAGTCAATGGTCTATTGACTCTGTTGCTTTTGGAGTTTTAAAGCAGTACATCATGATGTAGTTGTGCATTCCACAAAAGTATTTAACCTTATGGGAGTTGGGAACAAAGAGAAACAAGAAGTGGTGGGTTCCCAATAGCCCCGGACAGACACACCCTAACTGTCTAACTCTTCTCCATTTCACCCCACATTATAGAGGCTCTACTACACCCCAATAGCTCCACAAACTGGGGGGAAATCTTTGGATGTATGTTCCTCCTGAGGACACTTCCTAACAATAGCAGAGCTGATGATAGGCATGATCAGATTTGAGCTCTCTGGAACAATGACCAACATGCAAATACTAGAAACATGGAATCCTAGAAGGAAGGCTATGGAATTTTTGGTCCATTGACCAGTTAGAAAAGAACAAGAAATTAAATTTATGGAAAGTTTCAGGAAGTAGAAAGAACAGGAGTGGATACTGAGCAGTAACAAGGGGAGAGGAAGAATGAGTATACTATGTTCTGAATGCCTAGTAGATAGAGCATCTCACAGAGATGGGATGCCACCAAGGAAGAGGCTGAGGACAGTCACATCATGACTCATTCCCACCATGGATCGGTGAGGTCATTTGCTTCAAGAGTCTCAATTTCCTAATGTGACTTAGCTCCAGGCTAACGATAAGTGTTCCTCAGGTTTCAGGTATGTGAAGTTTTTGCCTTCCTTTATGACCTTCTCTTACAGGAAGTGGGAGAAATATATTTCCATCATTTCGGAGCTCAGTGCCCTTGTGACAAAAAGAATCGATCATCTCCACCTACACAATGAATTTCTGTACCAACGCACCTGTGATGGGCGGCGCTTCCAGAAGCTCTGCAGCCTGCTGTATAATTTCACGGATACTGCCATCCTGCAGCGTTGTCTTACTTTATGCAAGCTCAATTCCAAAACTCTTAACTTCATTGATGTGCTTTTGCTGAGTAAGGTGGGTTTTCAAGAAGTAGAATGGCTCATGTGTTAAATGTTAGATCAAATAATTTAGACTTAACTCTTGGGCACTGGGCAGTCATGGAAATTATTAGAGGAAGGAGTGACAAGCCAGGCATATTTCAGAGATTCCTCTGGAATGCAGGATTGGAGGATTGTTATACCCAAAACTAGGAAGGACCTGGAGGTTTCCTGTATTGATAATGGCACAGTTATAAGTACACTAGTTATGCATCTCTATATTTATATCTATGTTGACAGAATGTATCAAACTCTTGTATCAGGCAACCCATTTGTTACAGTGATAACAGCAGCCAGATCAGGACTGTTGCTATGGTTCCCTTTCCTGGGGAGATGCAATGCTTTTACCTGTATGTGCGGCAGGGTTTACAATCCAGGAAGAGGGCTGTACATTATTAATTTTGGAGCTTATTTATAAAACCTGGAATATCTGTATCTTCTCTCTAGGGAGATGTGGAGAATGAAAAAGAGGGAATGGAGAGAGGGGTGGGGAAGAGAACTTCATTCTGGAATATAAACAAATTCTTTTCAGTGCAGAGGAAAAAGTCTATAGGCCTGCAAAACAAACGCCTCCAAGGGGGATGAGTCAACAGGATTGGATGTAGGACCTGAGAATATAGGCAATTTTTTTTCAGAATAGCTCTTTATATTAACCTTCCATGGGAAATTTTCACTTAATCATCTTTTAACTCATATTACCACTAACTTTTCCTCAGAAATCTCTCATCCAATGGAAAACTAAAAATATTAATGGATTATTGATTTTCCAACCAAGGATCAAAGGGGAGCCAAGGAAGCCAGAGAGGATGTCTGTGGGGTGAGGACTGGCTGTAGAGATTGACAGCCAACTTTTCATGGCTGTGAATAAATAGCTGAACAAAACTTTTTGTATTATTGGAGGTTGACACCAGGGCCTTCACACTAAGTTACACTCACACTTTACATTATAATTTTCATTTTATAATAGAATCTCTTTAACTTGTTAAGAGTTCCAGGCAAAGCTGAAACTCACAATCCTGTCTTATCCTCCCAGAGGGCTGGGATGACAAGTGTATGCCATTATACCCAGCTAGGGAAACAGCTTACCAGAGGAATGATTTATCATGGGTCAAAGTTTTTCTACATGGTCAACTGGTTTCATTGCTTGGCCTGAGAGGGGACAGAGATATCATGGCATAAGAATATGGTAGAGGAATGCCACTCATCTCTTGAAAGCCAGAGAATAAAGATAAAAGCCAGAGATGAAAGGGCTGGTGACTGGATATAGTCCCCAAGTTCATACACCCATTACCAACCCTCTTGAAGTAGATCCTCCCTTCCATTTCTATAATCTCCCAGGAATACCATTACGTTATGAATATAACAATGGATTAATTCACTGATGAAGTTAAACACATCAGAATTGTTGGGGGCTATTTTAGATCAAAGCAGAATAGTTACCAAGGGTAATCTAGTGGTATGAGAGGACTTGGGTTTCTATATAGGCTTCTCAGAAGACCTGAAAGCTGGTGTCATTCAGGGATTCTTGCCCTCTCTCCAGGATGAATACGGAGGGGACCTGCCTTATGAGGACATCCGAGCAGAGGTTGCAACTTTTATGTTTGAGGGTGAGGGTTCCAGTATGGCTCTGTAGATTTCATATGGGTCTCTCTCTGTCCCAGGGGCATAGTAGGACCCTTCTGGGTCTTTCCATTCTTCCTACTCTGTTCATCTCTCTTTCCTCCTGGGGGGTCTCAGGCATATGGTTGTCCTGGACTACTACCCAATGGTACTGAAGCAGCCCCAAGACAAAAGGCTGCTGTGCTGTTGCTCAGGGTATGACACCATGGCAAGTGGCCTCTCCTGGGCTCTATACAACCTGGCAAGGCACCCAGAATACCAGGAACGCTGCCGGCAGGAGGTGCGAGAGCTCCTGAGGGACTGCGAATCTGAAGAGATTGAATGGTGAGTCGGACGGCACATTCTCTTCCTGAGCCACACTGATGGCTCTTCTCTCTTGCTGGGGGAAAGGCATTATGACTGTAATTTCTGGGTGAGTATAAGAGCTGAGTTCAGAAACAGGTCTGGTGACGGATTTGTAATGGACCACTGGGGGTAAAAGTCATCTACCTGTTGTCCTGAACACCTGTGTCACTCACCTTTCCAGTCTTATTCTGCAAACACTTTCTCTGCCTGCCTGTTGCCACTGGGTGTCCAGCCCACCCTGTACTATGCAGCCTTGGGAAAGATCCTGCTCAGGGATCTGTCATTCAAGAGCTCCTTCCTGAGGGTGAGGGCAGAAGAATGACTTAGTTCAGGACATTCTTAGCATAATTTTGAATGCTTTTGCTTCTCTAATTCTCAAACATGTCATCCATTATAGCTTATGTTATTCCAGGAAGAAAAGATTCACCAAGAAAACGCATGGGGCTGGTGGCGTATGTTATCACCCTGGATAGCTGTGGGTTGTGGTTTCCTTAGGGATGACCTGTATGAACTGCCCTTCCTGACCATGTGCCTCAGGGAGAGTCTGCGGCTGCATCCCCCAATCACTGGCATCTCCCGACGCTGCACCCAGGACGTTGTGCTTCCAGATGGCCGGGTCATCCCCAAAGGTGCTACAGAGGGGGAGGAGGCTCCTGGGCAAGAATCAGGGTCCATCAGGTTGTGGGTTCTTGTCTTGACTGTGCCCTTTTCTCTTCAGGTGTTACCTGCCTCATCAGTATTTTTGGGACCCATCACAACCCTGCTGTGTGGCCGGACCCTGAGGTGCTTCCTCTCCTCCTCCCCCCTTATGCTTGTATATTGCTGGGATCCTAGTGGAGGGAGTGGGTTTGGACTAGGACATCTTTGCTTGCTACACCCGCACCTGCTCTCCCTGTCTGTGCTAAGAGACTCCACCCAGCAACCATGGCTCCCTGTCTTCTCCAGGTCTATGACCCCTTCCGCTTTGACCCAGAAAACGTCAAGGACAGGTCACCTCTGGCTTTTATCCCTTTCTCCGCGGGGCCCAGGTGGGTGTAGCAAGTGTCTGAGCTGGGAGGGGCTGATGGGGGTGGGGTCTTGGAGGACAGCTGGGAAATCCGTGCTACCCCTGAACACAAGTTTTGCGCCAAATTGTGAAGAACGGTGGTTAGGTAGACTCAAGAGGGCTCCTGGATGAGCTGAGAACCTGCTCCGTGCCTACCTGTGCGACTCAACCCTGGAGTCTCAGCCTGGTTCGGGGGACATACACTCCCAGTTGGGGTCTGGGCTTGATTAGATCCCTCACTCCCGGAGCAGACCAGGGTCGGGTGGAGTCCCAGGTAAGGTTTGGGGACTACAGACCTGGACGGTCCCAGAGCTGTCATAGTGTCCTCCTACCCCCTACCCCGGACCTAAGGAACTGCATTGGGCAGACCTTCGCCATGGCCGAGATGAAGGTGGCGCTGGCGCTGACTCTGCTGCACTTCCGCATCCTGCCAGATGACAAGGAGCCGCGCAGGAAACCCGAGCTGATCCTGCGCGCAGAGGACGGGCTTTGGCTGCGGGTGGAGCCGCTGAGTGAGGGGTCGCAGGGAGTCCCATGGTCTGGGACCCAACTGAATCCCCTCACCTTTGGGGTCTCTTCGGAATAAACTGTGCTGTCACTTGCAGCTGAGTCTCAGCGAGAGCCATATGGCCCTGACTTCCTCTGGCTGAGCCCAGGCCTCCCTGATGCCATAGGGAAGGAATTTTGAGGAGGGGCCAGAAACAAGGGCAAGTGTGAGGCTCTTCATCAGTGAAAGGACTTTCTTTATTTCTCTCTCTCTCTTTGCTTTAATTTTTTTTTATTAGTACATGCTTGCAGTATTTAATGTTTCCCTTCATCGCGGGAGTTGGTACACGATTTACATACCACATCTTAATTATTTTTATGTCCCTACTATCCTTCCTTTCCTCCTCCATGGAACTCTTCTTCATAGTATAGACAGCTAAGTTATATAGAAATTAATATATAGTCAGAAAGCAACTAGGCTCTGAAGTCAACACAAAAATAGACATCAAAATTGTGAACGGAGGAGCAAAGGTCAGGCCTCAAGATAAAGATGCAACGGCCAGGGCTACATACTTCTTTAAGGAATAAACCATAATCTAAGGTAATATGGTGGTTAGCACCATCTGATCCAGTATGGCCAGATAGGCATCAGTCTCCCAGGTGGGTGATGAGTGTATTTGCACCTATTTGTTCTGAAAAATGCCTTTATTGTTTCCATGTACTTCTGCTACATAATCTATTTACCTGTTTGATCAATATTAGCTAAGTAGCTATACTTGTAATCCTGTGAGTTGATGGTACTTTGACTCACATTGTACTACTGTAGTGGCTTTGTATTATAAATTACCCTGATGAACAGCCTTGTTGGCCATCCCATTCAGGGCCCTCCACACTCCCCCCACACCTGAAAGCCAGGAGCTCTGCTTTTGTACTTATTTCCAGTAAAACCCTCCTAACTTCTTCCTTTGGTTCATGCACTCCTCAGGATTACAGACCATGAACTCAGCATCTCTGACATCAAGAATTACATTTCTTCTGTATCATTTGTACTATCTTTACACCATACTGACCTTCATTTTAATCTCCTTATTCACCCTGTTTTTAGTCATCTCATTGTCATAAAGGATGAGGCAGAGATCATTTGACAGGATTTTGTGAAAACAATAGGATATATGGGTTCATACATGGGTGCAGGCAGACACAGAGAGATAAGGCCATCTGTAGTATTCACAGAGAAGTGTGCCCCTTTTAGAGTAGGGATTGAAAGAAGGCAAGGGAGATTAGGTGGGAAGATGTTAATAAACATCAGTGGTCAAAGTTCTCTGTTTGTCTTGTACTTCTGTGGACAAAGTCTTTTTGCCTGGTGTAGATTTTTGGTGTCTCCAGGTGTCCAGGGACCTGCAACATTACTTGTCCTCTCCTATTTCTTTTATGACATCATGTGTTTGCTGAGGACAGCCTCAGTGCTGAGTTGAGTCTCCACTGAGAACAATACCTCTTATAGCAAACAGGTTGGGCTTTGGGAGTCATGTCTGATTCAAGCCTTACATTCAGGATTCTTTACTCTTTGTGTGCTTACTAAATCACTATCATTAAACATTATAAACCTGGTACTTTATTCTTTTTTGTTTGTTTGTTTTCACCTATTTTCTCTTCTTTTTTTCTTTCTCCTTCCTTCTTTCTTTCAAACCTTTAAAAGCAATGTCAGAATGTGGTTCCTTTTGACACAGGGTACAAAATGACATTGGGTGGATGACCTCCAAATGATATAGGAGAAAAATGATCTCCCAACCTGGAAGGTACCTGGGACAAGTTCGTGTTCTCTAAAATCGAAGAATTAATTTTAGGAACAAACAGAGGTTATGAGCAGAATTGATTTACTGGGGAGGGGGAGAAAGCTCTTGTCCAAGAGAGGGACAGGAGGATGGCCCCGAGTTAGTGGTCCCCGGGAAGCTGTCTCTTCTAGGGACTTCTGTAGAGGCTATAGTGGTAGAGAACATGGGAACTTGCTTAGGTGAGCATGAGGTGGGACAAAACTGTGGTCAAACAATGAGATTACAAGTATCATTGCTCAGATAAAATTGATTAAATCCAGAACCAAATGAGGAATTGAGTCACGTAGCAAGTAGGAAATGATCTTTTCCTGCTGGGGGTTGAGCTAGTGACTCATTTGGGCTCCTTCAAGGTGATTGATACCTATTTAGAATACCATTCCTTATGCCCATCCCTAGGGAAGTATGTAGCTGTATTTATTTCCTCTTTTGTCTTTTTAAAAATTAATTTTATTGAGAAACAAATAGCAATGAGACAGTTTCAAAACAGGTCAGTAGGACAGTTACAGTAATTAATACATTGCATATTGTTGTCTTCTTAGTACAAGATGCAGACATGATATCCTGTCCAAACAGTGTTAGTACAGATCTTCCTTCTCATTGAATTAAGAGAAAGTAGCTGTATATCTATCCTATTTTGTCAATACAGATACAAAATGGTCCTTCATTTGTATCCCCTTTTTTTTGTTTAGTCTTATCAGAGATGGGTATTCCATTGCCATTTAAATATTGTAGGTGTGCAAATTCAGCAAAATAATCCAATACAGTCCAGTAGTCCATAATAGTAGTATTGCAGGCAGCCAAGTTAGATAGAAATATTATAGGCAGTCAGACAGGGCCAGGCCCTCAAAGGAAACAGCACACAAGATGAGATGCCTTACAACTGTGGGAGGGGTGGATGCTCCTGCTGTGAACCAGACCTAAAGACCTAAAGGCCAAAGAAATGCTAAACGAGTAGCACCTGGGATTGATATGCTAAATAGGTATCTACCATCTGGAAAGACCCAAGGGAGTCATTAGCCCAACCCCCAACAGGAAGAGACATTGTCCCATATTCCAACCCCCAACAGGAAGAAACCCTATCCCGTATTCATGCTCACTTAATCCATGACTCATGACTCACTTCCCAATTTGGTCCTGGGCATAATCAATTTTACCTGAGTGATAGTGCTTGTAATCTCATTGGTTGACCATAGTTTTGTCCCACCCCACATCCACCTGAGTTCCCCCTTTCTCCACCTTAGCCCCACATGGTTCTACTCTATAAAAGTCCCTGGAAGAGACAACTTCTGGGGGATCTACCTGCTTGGGGCCTTCCTCCTGTCCCCCTCTTGGACAGGACCTTCCTTTCCCTCAATAAATATATTCTGCTCATAACCTAAAATTCATTCTTTTGTTTTAGAGAACATGAACTTGTGCAGGTCAGGTCAGGAGATCGTTTTTCCCTATGTCATTTGGAGGTTCCCTATATGGTTTGGTGGTCACCCACCTGAGATCAGTTTTTCTCCCTGTATCAGCAGTGGATTATCCATAGGACTGGCAATGTCAGAAGTTGTTGACTTGAGCCTTTTACAGCTCAGCATATTAATATGGCTTTGCTTTTTATGCCTTGTTTTTATACTTTTCTGCTGGATGATTAAGACCAAGATAAAGCAAGACCTATATAACAAGAAATGTAACTTTTGTATCTGACAAGGTCAGTCAAATCCCCTCAGGATTTACCCTTGAAATCTTGTACCACAGTTTGTAGATCCTCAGTCAGTGTCAGCCATGTGAATGAGTCACAGCCATTGCTTGACTCCTCTTTTGTCTTGACGTGTGGCCCATATGGGAGTGTCTGTCTCTTCCATGTTGAAAGTTGCCTTGTCTTGCATATTGTCTCCTTGAGGGCCTGGCCTTGTCAGACTGCCTATAATATTTCTAATTCAACAGCCTACAACACTTTCCCCACTCTGCTTTTCTCTTCTAGTGCTCATGTTTTGGGCATACATGCTTTTTTTTTTTTTTTTTTTTTTTTTTTTTTTTTTTTCTGGAACCGGGGATTGAACTCAGGCCCTTGCGCTTGCCAGGGAAGTGCTTATTCCACTGAGCCATCTCCCCAGCCCCTGGGCATACATGCTTTAATCTCTTTCCTTTTCCCTTCCCTTCTTTCATTCCTCTATCTCTAGTAATGCCTCCAATGGGTCTTAATCTTCTGTACCCAGTTGTCATGGGACTGGGGCTGAGAAGTTTCCCAAAGCTGAGATGATGAAATCAACCCACTATCAACAGAATGTTTGGAGGTTTTCTGACTCTTATCATGAAAACAAAATTTTGAGGACATGTCAGTAAGAGGCATAGGAAGGCATAGGCAGAATGTTAGCACATATTTGAGAGTGGAGTGTGAGTACTGATAGGTTATGACCCTAGTAAGAATTGCTGAATTATTATGGTGGTCACCTTATTGTAGGCAGCCGAGTTAGATAAAAATATTATAGGCAGTCAGACAGGGCCAGGCCCTCAAAGGAGACAGCACACAAGATGAGATGCCTTACAACTGTGGGAGGGATGGATGCTCCTGCCGTGAACCAGACCTAAAGACCTAAAGGCCAAACAAATGCTAAACGAGTAGCACCTGGGATTGATATTCTAAATAGGTATCAATCACCTGGAAAGACCCAAGTGAGTCACTAGCCCAACCCCCAACAGAAAGAGACCCTATCCCGCATTCCAACCCCCAACAGGAAAAGACCCTTTCCCATATGTAATCCCATTGGTTGACCATAGTTTTGTCCCACCTCCTGCCCACCTAAGTGAGTTCCCATTCTCTCCACCTTTGCCCCACATGGTTTTACACTATAAAAGTCCCTGGAAGAGACAGCTTCCCAGGGAACTACCCGCTCGGGGCCCCCTCCTGTCCCTCTCTTGGACAGGAGCTTTCTTTCCCTCAATAAATATATTCTGCTCATAACCTCCGTTTGTTCCTAAAATTCATTCTTCGGTTTTAGAGAACACGAACTCGTGCGGGTCAGGTCCAGAGATCATTTTTCTCTATGTCATTTGGAGGTTCCCTATATGGTTTGGAGGTCACCCACCCGAGACCAGTTTTTCTCCCTGTATCAACCTGACAGGGCTCAAGCCCTTAAAACAACAGCTTATCTTCCCAGTGACCACTTCCTCCTCCTTACCCACTCCAGCCCTGGATACAACTTCCTTTCACCTTTCCTGCCCACACAAGGTAGCCTCCAATCAGCTCCTTATACATCACTAAACCTGCCCCTCAAACTCC